CAACGGCACAACGATATGTCTGTCACTCATGGACCGCACTCAATCTTGCAGACAGGACTAGTTTGGCCTACATGGATAGTCGAGGATTGTGTGACAGAATGCACGCCATTGGCAAGCGTCAGTATGATGTGGAGTGACAAGTCGGGGCCATCCGACTGTCGAACAACGCGATCGCTTTCACTCTGAACCTTTAGCAGGCCAGTACTCGCCATCGTTCTCAGATGAGTCTGCGGCTTCATTTCACCCCATGAGCTAGCACCTCTCTCGACTATAAGTTCGTCCACTATTCTCCCACCACCTTCCGAAACCCTACGCCTTCTTTACAGATCAACCAAAACATCGCCACTTACTCTCTACACATACTACTCACATCCGAAGCTCCAAACCATCGCTTCAGACCATCATGTCATCGGAAGAGGAGAAGACAATATCCGCGCTGGCCAATCTAGACATTGGCATGACCGCGCACGAGTCGACAGCTGACCCGAACAGCATTCCAGCCGACGAACACGCCAACCAGAACAAGACTTATCGAAACCAGCCCTCTAGACCTAAGGGGAACGAAGAGACTGAGGATGGCGGCATTGGTTCTGGCATTGGCTTGGACGAACCAGTGTCTGATGATGATGACGACCACGAGCGCTATATTGTCGATGACGATGAAAGCGTTCACCTTGCTCTTAACCTAAAACGCCACGACTGGGAAGCCCTTCGACAAATTCCAGACGACAAGTTCAAGGATATTGTCCTGCTATCCGTGAATCCCAGCGGCCAGCTTGAGCGTGCAGATGTCGAAATTCTCTCGCGCTATGAGGGCGAAATGAACCTCGTTGTGACGCTTCGAGTCCACCACAAAGACCAGGGTGATCAAGACTATGTCGTATCGGTGCCATCCGTGGGCACGCAACCTCGCTGGCGAGCGGGAGACGCCCACAATCTGAGAAATGAAGTTGGTCTTATAAAGTACCTCTTTCAGCACACGGATGTTCCGGCCCCAGAGGTCATCGCATCAGCAGAGTCTGTAGAGGGATCCAACCTAGGTGCGCCTTACATACTCATGAAGCGTTTACCTGGCCGTCGTGCGCATGAGATTTGGTTCGAAGATGCCTCGGACATGAGCCACATTACCGCAGTCCGTATCTCAAAGGAAACTGAGGTAAAACGTGTGAACCTATTGCGTTCACTTGCCAAGGCTATGGCAGGACTACAAAAGGTTGAGTTCAAGGGCATTGGCATTCCTGCGTTTACCGATGAGGAGAGCAGTGAGACGCCCCGCGTTTCCTATTTATCTCAGTGGAAGGATGAATCCGACCTCACGCATGAAGACCTGGAGTCTGACACTCAGGTCTACCAGTACGGACCATTCGCGTCAAGTATCGAGTACTTGACTCCTAACTTCAAGACTATTTGGCCGCCCCTAGATTCCGAGGTACTGGATACCTTGTATCCAGGCACCTGCGACCGCCTTAGAGCGCTAGGCTACCGGAAAGTGCTCGAGATCATCTTTTCGCAGCCCGTCATCAGGAACTCCAAAGCGTCTAACGCCGAGGCTAGCGAGGAAGAGACCTTTGTCCTGGGGAATGATCTCTACCTCCATAATATTCTCGTCGACGATGATGGCAATGTTACAGGCATTCTAGACTGGAGTGTCTTCGCAAGTCCACGTTTCGTGGGTTACGCCTCACTTCCCATCTTTCTCCGCCGTGATTGGCACACTTGCTTCACTCTGCACGACTACCCATGCATGGGATATCAACTGGACCACTATCGTCAAATCTATACCAAGGCTATGGAGGAGACCGGATGTGCCGAAGCACGCTTCACCGCTAAGTCAGGCATGTACCACGCGATCGTAGAAGTACTGACCAGTTCGATGTCTGCCCCCGAGCTTATCAAGAAGATTATGCTTGAGATACCAGAACTGCGTCGCACAGACCTCAATGAGTTCAACATGCTCCTGGGGCGAGACGACTGGCCCGAGGCTGAAGAGTGGTTGGCGGGGAAGATTGGAGAGCTTCTGGACAGCAAGCCCTTATCACGTTGAAGGGGCCTATGGAGGGAGTGAGATGTGCTGAATACGTGCGTTCATCACGGACAGCATCATGAGTACGGAGACTAATCAAGGAAAGCTTAGTAGATGGACAGGTCAGCTGGTATCAGGTCCTGTCGCCAGAGTTTTTTTCGAATATCGTGCGCTGTATGGCCATATCAAGATAGAAGTTCTGTTTATATTACACCGTTGCTCATTGACTAAAGTGCCTTTGATGTGTTCCTTTCTTCTCTCGCTACATGTGGTCAAGTGAAGATCGATACGTCATGGATCGCCTGACATCACCACTCTCACAAGTACACATCTGGGTACATAAACATACCTGCAGTAGTTTTTGAAGGATATACAACTCAAAACCATCAATCTGAACAATTCTCAGAAAATATGGCATCCCCATTAACAATAGTCGTCACCGGCTCCAACCGCGGAATCGGCCAAGGCATCATCAACCTCCTCGCCAACACCCAACACCCACAGCCCCTCCACATCTACGCCACATCCCGCGGCGGCGTAGACCTCAAAATCCAAGCCAAACCCCCCAACGAGATCCGCTACGCAAAACTCGACGTCTCAGACAAATCATCCATAACATCTTTTCTCAAAACCGCGCTCAACAACAATGGCAAAATCGACGTTTTGATAAACAACGCCGGCATAAACAACAACAACAACGAAACCCCCGATGCCGCCGAACAAGTCATCAACGTGAACTACCACGGCACAAAACAAATGTGTCAACTCTTCCTCTCCGACGGAAAGATGTCTTCCACACCAAACGCCCGCATAGTAAACGTCTCCAGCACCGCCTCTTCCTTGTCAAACTACCCCAGCGCCACTGCATCCCGTTTCAGGTCCGCAACTTCCATCTCCGACGTCGACACCTTGGCTCAAGAATACATCTCCTCCGTGGAATCCTCCTCCCAAGAGTCCGCCGGGTTTGGCGCGCCGCCGAAATCGTACCAAGTCAGCAAAGCGCTTATGAACGCACTAACGGTCGTTCTGGCGCGTGAAAACAAGGGGCTGTTGGTGAATTGCTGTTGTCCCGGGTGGGTGGATAGTGATATGGGGAATCAGATTGGGAGGCCGCCGAAGACGTTGGAGGAGGGGGCGAGGATACCCGTTCGATTGGGGGTTGGGCAGCTTGGTAAGGGTGGAGACGGAGACGGCGGTTTAACACAGGAAACTGAGCCGATAAGTGGTAGATATTATGGGAACGACGGAGTTACAGATCGGGGATGGGGGAGGGCGAGGGAGTGGTAGATCAATTCTATTGTAGATGGTATGGGAGTACAGAATATAGATTATCCTTTTCCATAAGCGAACAGACCGACTACACAGAAACCCATTCTCACACTTCCAAAACCCCACCTCAATCAATCCAAAAACCAGCTCGGCACCTCAGGCCCCCAAACCGCCAAACTCTCATCCCCCGCCTCCCCCCACCCCACCGGCGTTTCCTCATTAACGCAATCCCCATCCGCATAATGCTCAATCATATTGCCCGTCGTATCCCACCAATAATCAAACAACTGACTCCCCAATATATGCCGTCCAACACCCCAAACACTCTTATACCCCTTACTCGCCAACCACTCATGCCCCAAATTCTGTGTATCAAAGTCGTGGACTTCGAAACTACAGTGATGGACATGGGAAGTGGGGTTGCTGGACAGGAAAATGGTGTGGTGGTCTGTGTAGCCGGGACCAAGGTCGAGGTGCGCGAAGATGGCTACGTCTTTTTGCTGGGGGAGAGAGGGGGAGGAGGGGTTTGGGTTGATGTAGAGGAAATCGGTGGGCACGATGTTGAAGGTGCGGGTGTACCATTGCATGCAGTCTTGGAAGTTTTGGACACAGAGGCCGTAGTGGCCTAGTTTGTGTACGGCGGCGGGACCGGGTTTGAAGCGTTGGAATCGTGCGATGCGAGGCTTTTCGTTTTCATAGTTTGTTGTTAGGACTTCGGGGAAGGGGCCTGGGTCCTTTTTGGTCTGGCCGTGGATTAGGTTTATGGGGAAGCCTTCGGGGTCGTGCAATGTGATCATGTGGCCGCCGCCTGGTGCGTCAGTCAACTCCTCGATAGATCCAGCACCCGCGACTTTCGACGCTTTTTCTAGCTCGGCGTAGCTTTCTACTTCGAAACAGCCGCCGAGGAACTTTTTCTCTCCTTCTTGTGCGTAGTAGACGTATTGGTCTGAGCCGTAGCCTTTGAACCATTTCTTGCCTGGGGCTTTTTGGGCTACGCTCATGCCGAAGTCACGCAGGAAAGTGGTTATTTCGTCTAGATCAGGGTGTTGGTACCGCATGTGCACCAGTTTTGTGAGTTTGATTTGGGCATCGCGGTCGATGTTTTGTTCTTGCTGCCATTGTCGGAGTGGTTTGCAGGGCTTGGGTATGGCGATGGATTGATGGACGGAGGAACCGCGGTTTGGTGATGTTTCCCAGCTGGGGTTCTGGGAGTGTGGTCAGTCAGGTTTTGAATATTGAGGTTTTCGTTCATCGAAGAAGAGCAAGCTCCAAGGCGAACTCGTGTGTTTCAACACGCCAAAGAGTATCGAGAACGCAGATGTGGGGCCGTCTGAGGTACTTACGGCAGGTGTGATTTTGTCATTAAACTCGTCGAAAGCCATGTTAAAAGAATTTCCAAGTTTCTATCGCCAAACGGATTCGCTGTATAGAAAGCAAGCAAAGCAATTCGATGTTTGGTTGCCAATGCAGCCAGCGACGGGAGAGTATATAACCGGATGTGGGGAAGGAGATGGCACCTATGCCGATGTGGGGTCCCGGCATCTTCGTAGGGCTGAAGGCAAGGCATCCTGCATCAACGCCACTGGTTCGCATATGCAACAGATACTGGCTGAGCCGGCATGTGGAGAGTCAAGATGATGTGAGATCAGCATAGCACATGTACAGCCAGCAGCAGTTCGTGAATGATGCTGTTTGTTCGATCGTTACTTCAAAGCTCCATTATTTCCTCTTCTTCCACAGCAGATTTGGCCCCTTCGACCAAGTTGTTCAGCCATGTACCCAGTCTGAGCGCAGCCTTGCTTATCTGAAGCTCTACTATTGGCACAGCGCCTGCAGCATACCCATTAGTCCCAAGATCTGTGTCGTTCGTTACGCGACTCCACACGTAGTCGCAGTCCCATTTGTTGCTCTCCTTCGCCCAACTTGTTGCGCATTCCTCGGGTGTAGAAAGGTCGGTACAGGAGAGCCACATGTACGGCGCGGAGTAGAACTGATCTTTGCGAATACGAGCGACGAGCCCAGAGAAGAACGGATCGATCGACTCGTGCGAGAAGGGATGGTCGACGTTTGCCGCGAAGTAGGGTATGTAGCCATCCCAGACCTTGCTTGTTAGCGCATCCTTTTGCTATCGGTGTAAGATACTCACAGAATGTAACTGCGTGTGAGCGCCACCAAATACCACTTTGTACGTATTGCCTCCTACTTGTCGGCCACTTGCATGTAGAGGCTGATGAATGTCGCCCAGGAAATGAGCAACCCACTTCAACGCATAAGAGCAAGTCAGGTTTGCACCTCCCGTCAAATCACCAGTATACACCTGGTCTATGCACTCCCGCAGTATCCTCGTCTGGTTTGCAATAGCACTAACAACGCATCCGCCCTTTGCGCAGTCCCGCGCATAGTCTAGACTGCAGTTCTCAGGTTGACGGTCGTGTGTGTCTATCCAGTGCCACTGGTACGAGAAGTGGCCTTCGCTTGTGTGCGCATATCCGTCTGCCCATGCTGCTGAGCGCCCAACTGAGCCGTTGTATTGGGGTTCGAGGATCTCTGCGAGGACGGACGTGGTTTCCGGTGTGAAGAAGGTTTCTGCCATGAAGCCGACCTGATTATGCACTTTGTGACATTAGCGCTAGCTACTCGCGAATTGGAAAGGACGTACCGTCTGTGTTCCATGCTGTGGCCGAAGCTACAAGTGTAGCTCCTATGAAGATGCTTCTATGCAGCATGATACTGGGGCTTGATCGAGCTATCAGTTCGAAGAAAGAAGAAGAAGAGTCCCTATCTAGAGATATGGAAGCGCGCGGCGCTTATATACACTCTGAAGCTTGTGGCTGGGTGGATGCGAGCTGAAAGATAGGGCTGGAAGCCTAGAATCCCATTCCTGTTGTATGAAAAGCGCACGATAGATCAAACTGAGATTTAGAACGAGCAGCAGTATCTCGAGAAGGTAGAGATGAGATGATCAGTGTCTGGCGCCTCTGTTGTTGACCTCGGGACGCGTGATGCACCATGATGACGCGCCGTCCACGTGGGGTGGTCGGGGGAGATTGCTGCAGGGCAAGCGCACTAGAGCCGAAACGGCAACGCGCGTCGCGCCTTCCCCACAAGTGCACATGTGCCCAGGTGTGAATCGCCATCACTACCTAGGTACGCTTCCACCTGCGTCGTTACATCTGCGGTCTTGGAGATGGCATTAATTCAAGATCCTTAGACAAATAGGATACAAACCTGACGTGATTTTCTTCACCAGTGACGCGGCTAATAGTACAAGAACGCATGGGATGGAAGACGGTCGAAAAAGAGAAAGAATGAGAATGCATCCTAGATGGTATTGAAGAGGAGCATCGCTCAACTTGTGAAACAAGGCACAGTTGCAGCTTCCTCCCATTTCACAGAGGTGAAGTTTGCGCCTCGATAACCGAGAGCTCCTTCCTGTATTGAGGCGAGACGGAAACGGCCTTCACCTTCCTCTTCGCCAGCTCACAGCTAGTATCCTTTTCACCACCTCTTCACCTTGTCTGCTCTCTTTGTTCTTCCTATCTAGCCGGCAGTTGTCACGTACCTAGACGCGTCTCAACTCCCCTTCCAAGATCTCATTATCGACAAACGTTCCCCGTTACCCGGCACCGTCGTCACCATGTTCAAATTACCTCTCCAAGCCGCTCGTGGTGTCTCCAGATCTGCAACAGTCTCTTTCAAGCGCCAGCTACGACCAAGCTCCAGCTCAGCGTCCGACCGCGCCGGGTGCGTTGACCGAGCCGTCAACGAGCTCCAGGCTGCGCAGGGCATAACGAATACCGGTCGCATTGTCAACAAGATATGCACGCGCCTCGCCAACGATAGAGCAACGACGCGTACAGAGCAGCTGATCTGGCTTGCGAAACATGCCCTCGATACATCAGCAGCACCCAAGCGCGACACTGATAGCAGCAAGGCTTCGGTATACCAGAAACTCCCAGAGAAGCAAGAAGATGAGCAGAAGTCAGCCGCATCTGAGGCGGACGGCAAGCGTTCTTGGGAGGGCGTTTCCGCATGGCCGCATATGTGGTAGGTATGTGTATCGTCATGACCCGATAAAGAGGCTGACTTATGTGTGCGAACAGGTAGATTTCCGGTTCAACCACCTCTTTTCGATAGTGGGCGCTTCTCTGTCAGTGCGTAGTCTTCAGGACTGTAGGTATCGAGCCCGGCGCGTGGAAGCTCATGGTTACGTATCATCGTCAGTTGCTCCGGGCCTTCTGAGTTGCTATGTGGACCGAGCACCCCATGTGGGCTGCTACAACAACACGAGAATACGCATGTATACGCTTCGATACGCTTGAGACTGCACCAGTAGGACTGCGATATACTCGGCAAGTGGGCGAGGCAGACTTCAGGTGGCTTTGGGTCATCGGTATCAGGTAGCGTTAAGATATATTCAGTCATATCTCGACTAGGCCTCCAGACTACTGGTGTGTATTCGGTGAATTCGGTTCCTAACAACCCAAGCCAACTGAATTAGCGGAAGGTCGGTGGACGCCTAACACTGTCAAGCAGCACCGAGATTAGCAATTCCAGTGTCGATCGTTTCAGATGCAATTTGTGACATGCAAACTAGACCCCAGGAGTAGGTAACAAGGCATCGGGGGCTGAGCGATGACGAAGCCCCGCCTGTGGCTTTGATCTATTCATGGCCAATCACACACCAAGAAGTCCGAAGAGGTCCGCATCATAGCGCATACGCTCTCCCGCGCGTGGAATACAGGCTTGCAGCTCCTACGTCTCATTCTTAGTGTAGCGGCTCCTCCTGACGCTCTCTCTTGCAGCTTCGTCGTTACCTACAATGCCCTCTTTCTGAGCCTTCTTTTCCAACCACCATGGCGAGTTCAAGTAACCCCGCGCAGGGCAATGACGCGCCCCGCGACAATGCCCCGCCAACGCAGCCATATACACAAACACAATCGAGGTTGGTCTTTCTAGATAGTTGACGACAGTTTCATACTGACTTGGTGCGTAGCGCGCCCTCTAGTTCACATCACACCCCTAGCGCCAACGATGGTCCCGCCTACGAAGCACCGACCCTTGGGGACCTACCACCCGCATACACCGAGTTGCCAGGCCAGGTCGAGAACGAAGAGCTGGGCACGAATGCAGTTGTCGCCGACGATGGACGTGTTAATATCCGAATCGACCAAAAGAGTCGCGCGCTGTCACAACTCATCCTCCCACAAATACAGCGTCAGCTCACAAACGCGCAAGAAGATCCTGAGCCGCCTCCACCATACGTCCCAGAGTTCCTCGGTGGTGCGCCCGGCCAGCAGCCTCCGCCTCCGCTAAACGTCGTCATACAAGTGGTGGGCTCTCGCGGTGATGTCCAGCCATTCGTTGCATTGGGCAAGGTGCTCAAGGATACGTACGGCCATAGAGTGCGGTTAGCGACACACCCGACGTTCAAGGACTTCGTTATCGAGAATGGATTGGAGTTTTTCAGTATCGGAGGCGACCCAGCTGAACTGATGGCTTTCATGGTGAAGAACCCGGGGCTGATGCCTGGTTTCGATACATTGCGCAGTGGTGACATTGGCAAGAGGAGAAAGGGCATCGCAGAGATTCTGAGCGGCACATGGAGATCTTGCATAGAGACGGGTAATGGTCTCGGTGTAGATCCGCTTCAACAGACGGTCGAGGAGTGGATGGGCATCGAGGACCAGCTGCCCGAGCAACTGCGCAAACCATTCGTCGCTGATGCCATAATCGCAAATCCCCCAGCATTCGGGCACATACATTGTGCTGAGAAGTTGGGCATACCCCTACACATGATGTTCACGTATGTCTGGTTTCGTTGAGATACGCGCACCTGCTGATTTGGATAGTATGCCGTGGTCGCCTACACAGCAGTTCCCGCATCCACTCGCCAACATCCAGTCTAGCAATGCAGACCCCACCATCACAAACTACTTGTCATATATCATGGTCGATGTACTGACGTGGCAGGGTCTGGGCGACGTCATCAACAGGTTCCGCAAGGATAGCCTACGGCTGGATCCCATCAGCGCTGTCTGGGCGCCAGCCATGCTCGCGCGTCTGAAAGTGCCTTTCACATATTGCTGGTGAGCATACTCAGAATGCTGCGCACAATTTGACTCACATCTCACAGGTCTCCTGCACTTATCCCTAAACCCAGGGATTGGAACCACCACATCTCCGTCGCGGGTTTCTACTTCCTGAACCTCGCCTCGAACTACACACCAGCCCCGGATCTTGCAGCCTTTCTCGATGGAGGTGAGCCACCAGTATACATCGGCTTTGGTTCCATTGTGGTAGACGATCCAAATGCCATGACTAAGATGATCTTCGACGCCGTGAAGATCACCGGAAAACGTGCGTTGGTGTCCAAAGGCTGGGGCGGGCTAGGAGCCGATGATCTTGGGAAGCCAGATGGCGTCTTCATGCTTGGTAATTGTCCTCACGACTGGCTGTTCAAACGTGTGTCTGCCGTCGTGCATCATGGTGGTGCAGGAACTACGGCAGCTGGTATCGCAACTGGAAAGCCGACCGTTGTTGTGCCATTCTTCGGAGATCAAGCCTTCTGGGGAGCCATGGTCTCAAGAGCCGGCGCTGGGCCTGATCCCATCCCATACAAGGAACTCACCGCAGAGAAACTCGCCGGAGCTATCAACGAAGCCCTCAAACCGGAAACACTCGATCGGGCGCAGGAGCTCTGCGACAAGATCAAACAGGAAAACGGAACACAGAAGGGAGCTCAATCATTCCATCAGATGCTTAATTACGACGACCTGCGATGTGCTCTCATGCCAGACAAACCGGCTGTGTGGAGACTGAAGCGCACTGACGTGAAGTTGAGTGCTAAGGCGGCTACTGTACTGGCCCAGCAAGGCGAAGTGAACTTCTCTGACATGAAACTGTAAGCAATCGTATGCTCGATTTATGAAATGTGCTAAAACTTGTAGATACCGCCCTCGCGAATATGTTCCTGATGAAGGCCCTTGGGATCCAGTTTCTGGCGCAGCTGGCGCTATCATGGGAACAGCAACCTCAGTGATGATGGGTGTTGCTGATATGCCGATTCAGACTCTCAAACTACTCAACATACATCCTGATGCCAGATCTAAGAAAGGCAAAGAAAAGGCCACAGGCACCGAAACTTCGTCGACCGGAGAAGGAAGTAGTAGTGGACGTCCGACAACATCGAGAACGGCGACTGATGCTACCGATCGCTCAGGTAGAAGTGGGGCCGCAACACCAACAGCAGCCGATGCTGCTGCTGATCTAGCCCGGATACAGGCGGACAACCCAGCAGTCAAGAGCCCTGGCTCTCCTGGTACGCCTTCACACAGGTCATCATTCATGTCTCAAGCATTTGCTGAATCTACCCAAGGCTCGCGATCGCGGTCTCGCAGTCGCTCCAGATCAGTGGCTGGGTCGGCAGCGCCATCCAACACTGGGCCAAAGCCAAGCATGGCCGAGAACTGTGAATCTGCAGTAGACACTGGCAAGGGTCTAGCTAGGATCGTCGGCGCTGGCTTCAAGTCACCCATGGACTTCTCACTCAATGTGGCTAAGGGGTTTCACAACGTACCGAAGCTCTACGGA